CCAAAGGAAATGATAGATTAAATGTCAGTCAGTAAACCCTCTGTTAATTTTTTTTTTCCACATTCTCAGGCCATTATTCATGTTTGAGCAGCAGAAATCTTAGAGACATATTCTTAAATGTCATAGAGTAAAATAATTCTATGCTGCCAATTCATAGCAAAATCAGGTATAATCAATTGAGTGAAGGTTAAGGTTGGCAGTGTCTTGAAAAATTAAGTAGCTTAAAAAGGACAGATGCAACAAAGCGAAGGGGCCTAGTCTATGTCACTTTGAACAAGAAAAACAGTAAGTGTTGACACCCCAAATGTCCCGGCCATTTCGGTTTCTCGAACTACAATCCATTAAAAAATAGTTTAATCACAGTGACATGGACGAACTCACAGGTACACTGTTGAATGAAACAAGCGAGACACAGAAGACTGCAGAAGATGCTACAGTCCTTGTCCCCAAGAGGAAGGAGGGCCACATGTTTCCATTTAAGTCAAAAAGGGATAGGAGAGTACTTTCAAAAATGATGAAAATGGTAGATACCTTAATTTGGGTGACAGTTACATGCATATACCATCAAAACTCATATTTGTCAAAACTCATTGACAAAACTGTATTTGTCAAAACTAACTGTATCCTTAAGAGCTTTATGTTTTAATAAGTTTAAAATATAACTCAATTTAGACAAAATAAAAGTGTCCTTCAGTGAGTGTTCTGGAAGAGGAGGAATGAAATAAATAAAAACAAATTTCCTTACTGAAAGATCTCTCACAGCTTTTAATACACAATTATGCACCATATATTTCTAAGAAGAGACTATTGGATACAGTAATGTTCCAGACTTAATTGCTCAAGGAACTTTTATTTTATCATATACACTGACATCTCTAAGGCACTACAGTTTCAGAAACCCAGTAACTTTAGCCTCGAAAAAATTCAAACAAGGGTGACAAATACCACTGCAGTCATTGAGAAAAAATTAACATCTAATTTTAAGTAATTGCTTTCCGGTGAACCTTACAGAATGAACTAGTTCTAAAATGTTGTTCCATATAAGGTCCAATTAAGGACTACAGAAATTCTGCCCAAGATGATAAATACAGTTTTGGAGTTGTTGACTTAATTTCCTTCTGTCAGTAATTAGATAGCAAAGCCAGATGTATATTAAAGAACTCTAAGCTTATGGCAAGGAAGCATCATTCATCATCATATAGACAACACTTATCTATTTTGCGTAAGACATCCAGCTCACCCAGAGATGCTACCAGGGTATTAAAACACAGCTAAAGATGGTAAGTCATAGGTTGAGCTCCCCAGGAAGCTGACTCTGTGACCAATGTGTGTGCAAGAGATTTGTGTGGGGAGAGCTCTCAGATCAACACCTGCAGGGCAGCAAGAGAAGCCAGACTAGATGTGGGGAGATATTTAACTGGGATTTGGCATACCAAAGGCCTCGGTGGATCCCATAGGAGCACTGGAACCAAAGTGATTCAGCCATCAGGCAAGAGGGCCAGCCCTTTATATGCTCACAACAAACCAGTCATTGCATTCTGGCTGCCACTGGGAAGGGGCATGACCACTGGCAAGCTGGCCTCCTTGGCTGAGGGTAGTTTTCACAGAAAGAATGCAGAGCCAGCCACCAGTCCTTCCAGCAGCCGGAAGCCTGAGTGCCTCAGCAGTGAAGCAGAAGCTAAGCGATGGATCACAGTGTGCACTACACAGCCAACACACACACTTTTCACCAAACTCACAAGAGGCATCTGCTCAGCAAGAAACCATTCCTACCTACTCTAACTCTCATGCTATCAACTAAGAAGCTCTGTTTAAGAATCAAGAGCCTAGATTGTGCCCCTATTGCTTTGTCCGTAACAAGTTCATAAAATTGCAATTAAAAACTACAAATAATCTTAGATGATTACCAAAAAAATATTTCCCAGTGTAAACCACATAAGAAACACTGATTAGTTTTGGCATGACTAAAAACCTAGCTGTTCTTCATCAGAAATAATGGCCTGAGATCAACAGAATTCTCTAAGAGCTATGACAAGAAAATTTATAAAATTTAACCTCAGAAGCTTTTGAATAACTTTCTAATGCTGGAGTACTTTCGATATCACATTTCCCTTTGCCCTCTGTAATAAAATTAAATTGGTATCCCAATAAACAAAGTAACAAGAAAAAATAAGAGTTTCTAGGTTTCACCCTGGCTCCTCTTTTTAACAATCAATTCATCTTAATTTATGCTTATAACAATTCAATCAGAACACATCTGTGGAGGACTTTCCACTATGAGATACCATACTTAGACACCACATGTGAAGTTTTGAATTACCTCTGGGTGGATAGTATAATATAGACCTGTGTTATACTATATCTTATCTATATTAAGGGTATAGAGATGAATAAAAGTTCAACATCTAATACAGAAGATATTTACACAGATATCATTAGAGGCATTACACATACAACAGCTAATAGAGAAGACAGACATTTACACAGATGTCCATCATGCATTCATTCAACAAACATACTTAAGCACTAACTATGTGCCCAGCTGTTCACAAGATAGACACAGTTCCTGCCTTTATGAGGCTTACATGAGACGTGATGTGTTAAAATAGAAGACTGCAGAAGATGCTATAATCTTTGCCTCCACTGAGAAGGAGAGCTACAGAAAGCTTAGGAACAGTACACTTAGTAAGAATAGCAGCAACTAACCTTTATTGAGTGCTTAATATGTGCCAGGCGTGTATGTAAATTTATTTGGCTTTTAGATCAATCCTCCGAGGTCTTTTTATTATTAATATTCCCTACCTGCAGATGAAGAGACTAAAACACAGAGAGATTAAGCAGCTTAATCAAGGCTGGTGGTGAGTGGTAGGCCTGGGATCCAGAGGAGACAACTCTGGAACTGAGCAGGAATTCACTAGATGGACACACACAAAAGGAATGGTGAGAGCCCTCCAGGCACACAAGTACAAAGACATAGAAATGGTCAGAAACCCACCGTGGAAGACAGTGTGATGATTCTGCAAAGACCCAGAATTAGAAATTCCATTTGACCCAGCAATCCCATTGCTGGATATACATCCAAAGGATTATAAATCTTTCTATTATAAAGACACATGCACACGAATGTTCACTGCAGCACTGTTTACAATAGCAAAGACCTGGAACCAACCCAAATGCCCATCGATGATAGACTGGACAGGAAAAAATGTGGCACATATACACCATGGAATACTATGCAGCCATAAAAAACATTGAGTTCATGTCCTTTGTAGGGACATGGATGAAGCTGGAAACCATCATTCTCAGCAAACTGACACAAGAACAAAACATCAAGCACTGCATGTTCTCATTTATAGGCCAATGTTGAACAAGGAGAACACATGGACACAGAGAGGGGAGCATCACACACTGGGGTCTGTTGGGGGTGGGGCAAAGGGAGGGACAGTGCGGGGTAGGGAGGTTGGGGAGGGATAACATGGGGAGAAATGCCAGATGCAGGTGACAGGGGGATGGAGACAGCAAACCACGTTGCCATGTATGTACCTATGCAACAATCCCGCATGATCTGCACATGTACCCCAGAACCTAAAGTGTAATTACACATATATGTGTATATATATATATAAACAAACAAACAAAAATATGGTCAGAAACCTGCAAGTTCAGTCCACATATAGGCTGCTTGTGGGAGAGTAACCAGAGATCAGACCTGAAAAGTGGGGCAAGCAGGGTACAGGTAGATGAGGGATGGTGTCATGTGCCCCACAAGGAAGGGACTGCAGAAGTGTAGGCATGGAAGTGAGGCCAATGCTGTTATTAAATTATATCACTAAGAATATCAATTAGAAAGAACGTGGCTGACGTTCCTTGAGAACCTCCTATAAGCCAGACACGGGGCAAACACTTACACACATTATCTCATTTTAGCTTCGCTACAATCTCATGAGGAAGGTACCACCATCATCCCATTTTAAAAGTGAGAAGACTGAGCTTTAAAGGGAGCAACTAGATGATGCAAGGTTTTACCGTTTGTGAGTTACAGAGCTAGGGTTCAAAACCAAGGAACTCTAAGGTCTGTGTTCTCCGCTGCCTGCTGGCCAGTGCACACATTTGACGTGGAGGGGTAGGACGGTGGCAGGCAGGGCACGGGAGGTGGGGGCACTAAGGCACCCGCCCAGGAAACGGATGGCCCAGGCCTCAACCACAGAGGTGCGAGCTGCCGGTTGCAGGAGACGACTTGTGAGAAATACGCACACAGAGGTAGCACCGGAGACTAAGTAGGATCTGGAGTGAGAAGGAAGGAAGAGTCGCGGGATAACAGCAGCTGTCTGAAGAGGTGGTGATTCTGCCACACGAGGGAATGGGTAGGAACAAGCACTGAGAGCCAGGCAGGGGGATGGAGAGTGATGGAAGATGCTCAGGTCGGGGTCTCCTAGGCTACCACAGAAGGAGCCAATGGGCAGCTGGAGATTTAGGTCTGCAACCAAGAGAAATAATCAGCTATGAAGGTACGGACTTGGCCACAAACACGTTGAAGGCATGAGAGTGGCTGAATTTGTCCAGGGAGAATGTAAGGAACAGAAGGTGCTAGAACTCTAGAAAACCCCAACTATTCAGGGAAATATTTTCATGCCTAATAGACAGATCGGCCTCCTTTAGAAACCTGCTTGGGAAAGGGCTCTCTTTACAGGTAAGGCAAATTGTCAGTACCGGTGGGAGGAAAAAAAAAAAAAAAAGTTGGTACTGCAAAATCAACTTACTTCCTACCGCAGGTGAGGTTTTGAATTACATATGGGTGGCATATTTCTGCTGAAGAAAATAAGCCAGTTGAGTGGTGTTATCTATTAAATAAATAAAAATAGTGCTAATCGTTTATCAGAGTTAACACCACAGATGTGCCTGGCCACCCTGAGCCCGTGTGGCCAATGTCAGTAATTCCACCCTGGACACAAACACTGTTGGCTTTGGATGGAGGCACAGGACGCTTACAGCATTCCCAGGACGTACTGTTTTCTAGCATTATTTATGTTCTCTCTTCACCCTTCTGCCTAAAAAATTACGACAGTGCCCCTTACCTACCTTAACGGGAATCTGCACAAAAGGCCATTTCTCCAGTTTCTCTCTCTCAAAAGCAAAGGAAAACTTCCCAATATTAATATGTAGCAAAAAGGAGGAAAAAAAAGCCTATTTGGTCCGCCCTCCTGGCTGTTGCTACCTTGCAGCTTATGACATACAGACAGAGGGAGGTCTGATGAAGTGAACGAGGCAACCAGAGAGCTACTCCATTCCCGTGGAAACCAGGAGTCCCTTGGTGCCGACAGCTCTGCCTACTTTCCAAGCAGTTCTTTTGTGCGACTTTGAGGGGCTCGTGAATGATTTCTAAATGTGTGCCTGCTGAGGCGAGCCGCCCGGGGAGGGAGGACCCAGCCGAGCCTTGCCGGAGGAAGCCAACAGTATCCTAGCAGTGCGGGAGCTGGCTCAGCCCTTGCATGCAGTTTTTGAAGTCAGCAAAACAGAAAGCAAATTACTATCATATTATGCTGGTGGAAGATCAAGAAAAGGGGACTCTACACCAGTTTAATCACTGTGAGAGAGGCAGCGAGTCACAGAATAACAAGTGTGTCTCATGTGTGGACCCTGAAGACAAATGTAAGTTCTCATGCTGCTATATTTTATTGCTGTGTAATTTTCTTTCCGGTTTGAAATCATACTTGGCCAAAATGTAATCATTTCAATGAGAATTTCTAGTGGGGAAAGTTGTCTGCTAATCTTTACTTAAGACTTTTTTCTTTTCCTTTTATCAACTAAACCACATTATAGGAACCGAAATTCCTGACAGCAGCTGTGGCAATTCAGCCTAAGAACGGCTGAGAACTGTAACCCAAAGTACATCCAATTACTATGGGATTAACACTGGATATATTTTTAATTGACTTTCTTAATGTAGAATGCGTACATCCCCGCTGTTTCTGATTGCATGCTATTTTAATGATACTGTGGCTCAATTAATACTATCGGCATAACCAACAAAATGAGATCTAGTTAAACAAGATTCCCAGTAGTGACAAAACTTTTCTTCTTTGTCCAGGACATTTGTCTCCCTGAAGGCTAACCAAAAAAAAAAAAAAAAAAAAAAAAAAAAAAAAAAAAAAACCTGCAACCTCTGTGCTAAAAGTTCATTCTGCTCTTTCGTCCTCACGTTGGTGAGAAAATAATAAAACCAAACAGTGGACTCTCTTGAAATTGTGAATGAGGAAAACTTAGAGCCACCGCAGTTCAGTTCTTTATCATTGTAATAATGGGAGACAAAACTCCAGCACAGGAAGACCAGCATATACACCAGCCTCAGTGTTACAGAGCGTGGGGACACCAAGGTGTATGGTGAGCAGAGGCTGTAAAGTGTTAGTCCTTCCACACTTCATCTGCTACAAGTTCTGGCTTAGACATGGATATTCTTTGCGAAGAAAATACTTCTTTGAGCTCAGCTACAAACTCCTTAATGCAATTAAATGACGACACCAGGCTCTACAGTAATGACTTTAACTCCGGAGAAGCTAACACTTCTGATGCATTTAACTGGACAGTCGACTCTGAAAATCGAACCAACCTTTCCTGTGAAGGGTGCCTCTCACCATCGTGTCTCTCCTTACTTCATCTCCAGGAAAAAAACTGGTCTGCTTTATTGACAGCTGTAGTGATTATTCTAACCATTGCTGGAAACATACTCGTCATCATGGCAGTGTCCCTAGAGAAAAAGCTGCAGAATGCCACCAACTATTTCCTGATGTCACTTGCCATAGCTGATATGCTGCTGGGTTTCCTTGTCATGCCGGTGTCCATGTTAACCATCCTGTATGGTGAGTGGCATTAGTTTCCCAGCCGTACCCACACTGGTAATAAAGAGCTTGTGCATGCCATCAGCAGATGAGATGGGGCCCGGGGGACAAACTCTAATTAGAAGGCTTTGTTTATAGACTAGGGTCTACCATGTTACTTCTATTTTCCTCTTAAAATGGGATTTCACATAAAAATCCAACAGCCTATTACCTGTGATCATTGGAGAGTTTTGTGCTTTAAAACATGTACATTTAATGTAGAAATTTTTATAAATTGCCCCGATGCAGTCATAAAGCAGTAACTTACCCATCATTCTGAATCTACTTGATTTTTTGCCCCTTTATATATCCCAACCAATATTCCAGCCTTCAGGACAGAACAGTTTTTTATCTTTGTCACACAGTTTTCAGCACTTCTAATGGAGTGGTAAAGCCTTCCCAATTCCCTTGGAACATTTGCAGGGAGAACATTAGTGGTGAGGTAGGTTTTATGTTAAAATATGCAGTCTCCATTAGAATAAATGAATTACTCCAGTTTTAATTGTTCCCTGCCCAGAGAAGCTAATTTGGAAATGTGCCTTTGAATTATATCCTCAACTCTTTAAAAATGCATATGCATAAACTCCTCCAGTCTGGTTTGGAGGAGGGTGGGAAGCAAATGGCAAGAGATTAATCTTGCTTTCTTCTCAACAGAGTTTGAAACAGTCAAACCTCGCAGCAAGGGTGCAGAATGTGACCTTCTTTCCAATTATGAGTAATACAGCCAGACATCTCCTTAAAAGAGAAGGAGACTATTGGGACTGGTGACACAGACGCAGGCAGCAGTCAGTCACCCAGGTCTTAGAGACAGGTGACGATAAGCTATCTTTCAGGGAAACTTTTCGGCCAAGTCTTAGGGGCTAAGATTAAACATCCCCAAGCCAGCCCTGGAGAGTGTGAAGAAGGAAGGCGGTACAGGGCGAGCAGGCACCAGCAGTCTGCCCCAGGCTGGTAAGGCTCAGTCCAAGTCCAGCCTCGCTTGACCATTTAAATGCCACACCGGCATGATTTCATTACATTCGGCTGTTCTTTCCCGGGCGTTCCGGGAAGGTTCTTGTTTCCTAAACCTCCTCTCCTAGGGGGCGAACTCCAGTGGGGGTGGGAAGAGTGACAGAGCAGGAGCCTAAACAGCCTCTGGAGGGTGGGGTGACCCGCGGCGCCATCCGCTCCCGGAGCAGGGTCGCCCCCTGGCGGTGGCCGCTCAGCGCGCAGCCTGTTCCCTCCGGAGCCCCGCCCCTCTCTGGGCTACTCGGAGCGTGGGGCAGGGGGCGTGGGACTTCTCCCGCAAGGAAATGCCCTCGCCTTACCCTGCAGCGGAGATACACGCTGAAGCCTGGGCCGCCTCCTTGTAGAGAAAACCCCTCCGGTGGCCAACATCTGTTCCGAACAGAGCTTGGCTTCCCCCATCCGGCGCTGCAAAGGAAAAGGCTTTCGTTTCAGCTCAAGCGCTTTGTAAATCATTCAAGTGAACGGTTGCAAATTAGGCTTGTACCTATGCTCTTTACTTGTTTAAATATCCCTCGTGGCATTTTGGTAGAAAGTATACGTTTGTGTTGGAGAGTTTGTTCGGCTTTGTGTGTCTGTAATAAGAAAAGTAGACTAAAATTTTCCTTCTCACATGCAGACAGATCACAGTAATAAGCAACTTCACTGCTTATACTGTGATCAAAACTAATTCAGTTTTGCATAACTGCTTGATCCCCCTCCAAAACACAAAACCAGGACACTTTGCTTACGTCCATAAGGCAGTCTAATCTTCCTAATATAGCAGGTGACCTGCACAGTCTCTTACTTTGGAATTGTCTGGGGAGCTTTGCAAACGCTTTGACATTTGATACCTGCCTCAGCCACACACCCCCACCTCCAGGCATGATTTAATTGGGCTTGGTTTGGCATAGGCATCAGGACCTTCTCTAAAGCTCTCCAGGTGATTCTGATGTGTAGCCAGAGGTGAGAGCCACCGTCCTAAAGCAGCGATTCGCAAAGCGCTGTCTCTGGACCAGCAGCAGCAGCATCACCCGGGAGCTTACTAATTCAAATGCAAATTCTACAGCCTGCTCTAGACTAACTGCATCAGAGCCTCTGGAGAGAGGTCCAGCAATGCGTGTTTTAAGAGGCGTGGGAGTCTGATGCTCACGGAAGTTTGAAAAATGCCTCCCTAAAACAAAGCTCAGAGCAAGGACACCGTCCCTTATTTTTCTTCACCCTTGTCTTCAGCTCTCTCACACATACCCCAAATTAGACTTTGGCACCCAAAGCCTTACTAGGTCTTTTTTTTTTTTCATTTTTACAAATAGACATATTCACAATCTGAATTTTTAATAATTCAGCCACTTGCACCAATGCAATTCATTGCCATCACTGATGGGACTGGATGGCAAAATGTCCATAAGCATCACTGTATGGGACCGGATGATTATAATGGCCAAGAGGTGAGACCAACCTTAGGGAAATACAATCCAGGGAAAAGTGTGAATAAATCCTGACAGTATGACGTGAGAGGTGCTACAGAAGAGGAGCCAAAACACGTCACAACTTTTGAAGTAAGTCACTTAAAAAAAAAAATGTTTTGCCAGGTGTAAGGGGAAATAAAGAGGGCCTTCAAAGAGAGACAATCTGAGTGTACCACACCACACTCCCATAATTCCAGACACTGGAAATGTCCAAAGCCTGCATCAGCCAGTGCTAGCTTATCATAATTAAGTACAGTTGTTAGTGGCTTTTTTCAAATACGAAAAGTACATTGTGTTGCTCTTTGCTACCACCTGTGCCTGTCCCAGAACTGGAAATTGTCATAGGGTAGGGACTCACATGTCCCAGGAGGCACGAGGGGACTGACACCAACTTTCTGCCTCGTAGGGTACCGGTGGCCTCTGCCCAGCAAGCTTTGCGCAGTCTGGATTTACCTGGATGTGCTCTTCTCCACGGCCTCCATCATGCACCTCTGCGCCATCTCACTGGACCGCTACGTCGCGATCCAGAATCCCATCCACCACAGCCGCTTCAACTCCAGAACTAAGGCGTTTCTGAAAATCATTGCTGTTTGGACCATCTCAGTAGGTAAGTGGGAACATATTTCAGAGTCTCATTCGAAATGACAGTTCGTGATTTCTGAAAAGACTTGTTCCATTTTGTTGTACTGAAACCTGACATCCTCAATCTACTGTTTTGGGTGGTGCAAGATATGTTACAACATCGTAATTACCAGTTCACCTCAGGAAAGAAAAATCTGTTTATATCACTGGTTGACAGCATGAATTTGTATTGCTCTGCACAGGCAAGACTATAAACAGCAGAGCCAAAACATCAGAAATAATTGTGCCGTTTTCCCCATTTCTCACTTTCAAGTCCACGACTCTAATTCTTGGGTTTCCCAAAGACCTCAACTTTTATAATCACAGGACTTAGAGTCAACGAAAGGATGCAGACGACTCCAATAGAGAACATAAAGCCTCTGGGCTCTAGAGAAAGGTACTATGTGCTGCAACATGGGGGGAAAAGCTGAGGCCAGAGCAAAGTGCCAGAATTTGCTTAGGGGCAAGGCAGCTTTTCAGTCCACCCTAGTGCCTCTATAGACCACCCTCCTTTTATGATACCACACACCAAAGGATTTCAATTTGCTTCTGTTAGATTATATACATTCATCTCCTGCCAGTACTGATCTTGTGATGTCACATACCCAACATCAGAAAAGCCCAGGTAATGAAAGCTAAGGGGGCAGCTCCCAGGCAGTGAAGTCAATGGTACCTGTCAACCTCGCCAGCTTGTTGGTAACTAAAGACTCTCTAGATTCAGTGGAATAATAGTACCAATAATAAGAGCAAACACGACAATACAGCATCCTGTATTTTTTAGCTCCCATTGTTTACTTTGCTGCAAGCAATGGGAACTAAGATGCAATCTGGAGAGTAGGTAGCTCCATCTTACAGATGAGGAAACTGGGATTCAAAAAGCAAAATGAGCTGTGCAAAGCCCCACGGCCAGCAAGTAGCACAGTGAGGATTTTGTTGAATCCTGATGGGAACATATGATGGAAACACTAACAAATTACACTTGTGTCACTTTCAAATGTTTAAAAAGTCTCACCTACTTTCTCTTTTAAACTTCCCATTACTGTTTGAGGTAGAAGATTCTATGGTACTTATTTGATAAGCTAGGGAACAAAAGTGCAGAGGTATCATGGCTTACAGGGTCATACCTTCAGCTTGCAACAGGACTAGGACTCTAAACTTCCAGCACAAAGCCCCGTTCTTTCTCTACCTTCCTTAGGAAACAATTTTTGCTCCTAGAAAATGCTTGCAGTTTCTGAAACTGTGCAAGTTGGACTCATTCTACTAGGAGCCAGAGAGCAAAGGGCCAGTAACCACTCAATCCCAATTACACATAAAATGCCCCTGGGGAACATTCTGATTTAATTGCCCAGGGTGGGGCCAGGTGATTCTAAGGAACAGTCAGAGTTGAAGACCACTGAGACAGGTTTTCAGGGTGGTCGCCGTGATAAGTAGAAGAATCAACAATAATGCAAAGGAGACAAATAAAGCTATTTGTTTTTACCCCGATACACTGGTCCATAGTTTTACTCTAATATGCTGTGCCATTGGTGAGACAAATGCTGGGAAGATCACCCATCCTTTACCCTCAGTCACAATGACTCCCCATCTCATTCAAGCTTCATGATAGCAACAGTAGTAAGGACAAAGAGTTTCTCAGCACTGAGTACAGACCCGGTAGTATACAAAGCACCTTAAAAAACATGAGCTGCAGAGATCTTAGTTGCACAGGACAATATTGCTTATAATCAGGAGTCATTATGGATTATTCTCAGTCCAAAGCCCATGCTTTTTCCACTACTCAAAAGATAATCTGCCTCTGGCTCTTTATGGCTGTCACCACAGGAGGCAAGCAGGCTGGAATGGTTGAGGCGGTCCTGGGCAGGGGGTCATCATTCATTGGCTTTAATGTGCATCTACTATGTGCTTGGCACTGGATAGACCAAGATGAAAAAGAGATGCATTCAAAGATCTCTCACAGAAAGGTAGGAGAAGACAAATAAGGAAACAAAAGAGAAAAAAAAAAAAGTTACATCAAATCTATGCTAGACATCTCTGAGGTGTGTGCCCTGAGGAGGGGACAAGTAGAAAATGTAAAAAGGGAAAAGGCAGATCTAATGAAAGACTCTGAGCACAAATATTCTCTTGAGTTTTCTTCTAGTGTTTCTGTTTTGATTATTTTGTTGCTTCGGGTTTAGTTTGTTTGCTTTGTGTGCTGTTTCTTTTAATTTAGATCTTTAGTGTAGCTGAAATTTTAAAATATGCTCTAACTTGTTTTCTTCTACTAGTGACTAAAGCCTTTTTAGACACTATTGATATTTTCTCCAAGTTATTGATATGTTTACTTTGATAAATTTCTAAATACTGGCTTGCATTCCCGGTATGTTGAGTTCAGATGACAAAGTTGGTTGGTTTATGATTCTTACAATATTTCCTTTTCTACCTTTATTAAGTGATAGAGAAGTTTCCACTTTGTCTTGAAGTGTTTAAGTAGCAATTATATATTTTTGAGAGGTTATGTAGAACTTGGTTCCCAATCTCTCTCATCCTGGTTCTTTTTAGACTATTTTAAGTTACACCTCTAACTTCAATAATTATTTCCATTTCCATTTTCTACCTCTTCTTGAGCTATTAGCTGCATACAAAATTTATCTTTTACATTATTCTTTTATCATTAAATGTCCCACTTTAGTGATGCTTCCTGACTTAAAATCTACTTGACTTTTTTTTATTATCATTTTTGCATGTATCTTATTTCATCCTATTACTTTCAAACCTTTCGTGACTTTAAAGTGTTAGCCTATAAGCAGTATATAAATCTTTGTTTTTAATCCAATCTTCGTCTGTTAGTTGGAGTATTTAGTAGTTTCACATATAATGTTAACTCATATTTGGGTTTAAGTCTGTTTTCTTACCATTTGCTTTCTATTTTCCTATTTGTTCTGTATTCTAGTTTCCTTTCATTCTTGCCTTCTTTTGCACTAATCAAGAATTGTCCATTCATATTTCCTCTTTAGGAGCTTGTTATCCGTTGTTTCAAACTGTTTTAGTGATTACAACACTCCATTTTGAACTTCGACTCAAACATATTGTTACTTGTAACATTTCTTGGATAATGCGAAAACTTTAGAACCTTTTAACTCCTTTTTCCCCATTTGCTGTCTGTCTTTTTTAAACCCATACGACATTATAGCCATTCTGTTCACTATTTCTCATATATTAGCCCTCTGTTGCTGTTCATTGCTTTCTTCATTTTCATGGTTTTGCCTGGGTTCCTCATTCCTGAAGAAGTTCCTTTAGAATATCATGTAGTTTTTTCTGTTTTTCTTATTCTAGGCATCTTTATCTTGTTTTCATTTCGAGCACATTTTTGCTCAGTATAGAATTCTAGGCCGACAGTCATCTTTTTTTTCTAGCTCTTTCTAGGTAGCAAATTCAACATTTCAAGCTTATATTTTGTTCTAATTTGCAAGAACCCAGCTGTCAGTCTTACTGTTGTTCCTTCAGAACCATCACTTTTTGCCAAGCCATGCTGCTTCAGAATGTTTTCTCTCTATTTCAGCAACTTTACCATGAATTAGTTTTGTTTTTATTCCTTACGGTGTATGTACTGATTCTTAAACCTGTGACTTTGGCCACTTTGAGAAAACTCTTGGCCATGATCTTTTCAAATACTGCTTCTGCCCCCATTCTCTCTCTTCTTCATATCTGGGTCTTCAGTTTCATGTATGCTAAATTTTTTACCCAACTTCTTTATAACTCAAACACTTCTACATGTTTTTTTTTTTAACTTTTAAGTTCAGGGGTACATGTGCAGGATGTGCAGGTTTGTTACCAAGGTAAACACGTGACACTATGGTTTGCTGCACAGAGCAGGTATTAAACCCAGCATCCATTAGCTGTCTTCCTGATGCTCTCCTTCCCCCTACCCACCACAACAGGCCCCAGTGTGTGTTGACATCTGCCATGTGTCCATGTGTTCTCATCATTCTGCTTCTACATATTAGTGAGAACATGCAATGTCAAACACTTCTACATTTTCTACATTTTTCTCATCTTCTTTTAGTTTCGATAGCTTTACTGACTTTTCTTCTGTTATTAGTCCTCTCCTCAGCTACTTCTAATCTGCTACAATACCCATCTCTTGGTAGCCATCTCAGTTATCAGAACTGCCATGGCATCATAGTGCTGGGAGTCAAGTAATCTCTATTTTGCTCAATCATTTACTAACTCTTTAATTCTTACTGCTACTAATCTCTTGCTGTGCCTTATTTATAAATTAAGATTTATCATAGGTACGCATGTGCAGGAAAAAACAGTCTACATAAAGTTTAGTATCCTTGGTTTCAGGAATGTATTGGGGGTCTTGGAATGTATGGCACTCAGATAAGGGGGGACCACTGTATTTGATATTCAAGTGAGGGAATGTTCCTGATGTTAAATTCAAAAAACAAGTTTTGGGATGGTCTGTGTGATATGAGCTCATCCTGGTAAACTAATGATAACATAGTGATAATATGTGGGCAAATATATATATACACATACACACACATACACATACACAACACACACACACACACACACACACACACACACAGTGCTGAGAATCTGTCAAAAGACTTCACACTTCTCAAGGTGATGAAATTAGAAAGAAAGGCAGGATTGGCATCTTTGCCCTTACACATTTCTATATAGTTTTGTCACAGATATTTTTATTCCAAAGTGTTTCAGATGATCCAGAATGGAGCTCTTACACCTCCATCATGGGTCAAAGGCAGCTTCTTAGATGAGGCGGCCAATTTCCAAAGTTAGCAAGTATCTGACACATTTTCACCTTGGTAACCACATCGTAGATTAACCAAGTTTTCCCTGCACTCAGGACTCCTGAGACTTACTGCTGCTTTTCCCTTGCTCACTCTTATCAGTGTGGTCACTTCCCTGCTTGCCAAGGATTCCATATAATTCTGAGGAAAAGGAACATAATTACAAATCAATTGTGTTTTCTGTGTG